ACACAATATCCACATGTGTGTTTATATGTAATGTATGTATTCGTGTATATACAATATACATATAAAACGAGAAATATATGTTAAACTTATATACAAACAGTTTTTAAAGTGATCCAGATTTTGTACAACCTACGATTTAGATTTTTCAATATTAAAATATTTCAGTGACATTGAATAATACATATACTCATACAATATAAGATTGGACTGATAATAATAGGATATATGTATGTGGATAATCTTACGACATGATTAAATATCTAACAACATGATATTCTAAATAGTAATATGTACAATGTCTTTTGTACGCGACCATGTTATTAACTCACAAAAGATAAATATTCTTGGTACACTTAAATAAGCCTCTGGATATAGATTCTGGGATTTATATACATCATAAACTATGTTATGAAAATGGATTCAATTCAAAGAAATATCTACCATAGAGTGAATTTATAATAAAGAAAACAGTTTTCATTTTACTGATGAATAAAATATGTAGATGTGGTAAGAATTATGTATCAGACAGGCTTCTTTAAATGGTCATAAACTCATAATTGCCCAAAACCTTTCACAGTCGATTTTACTATAATAAAAAGCACCTACAAACACATATGTAGGCCGCCTTTTGTTACATCGTTAGTTTTAAGTTTGTTTTTTTTGTAATTGTCTTTATTGAAAGTGTGGTGTGCAAAAAAGTATTAAATAAATAAAATAAATAAATATGTATTATGCTTTACTTTCAATTTCATCCTTTAGTCTAACATCATCCGCTAGGCTTTATGTTCTCCTCGTAAGATGTTATGAGTTGTGGCGGAATTACTTCCTGGTTTTCAATGCTACCTTAAACATTTTACTTTTCCATAACTCTCCACTTAATATGTCAAGCACCCCACGCTTCTAACTCTGAATGTAATAATTCTGTTCGTAACTTAAATTCTATTATTTTTTTTAAAGTACATACATAATTGACTATGATTGATTGTTTAACCTTCTGCTACGGTAATATAAACTGTTTGTTATTAAAAATTATTTTTAAGTTTTTAGTTCGGTCTGCTATAAAAGCGTGTTTTTTTAACAATTATTAATTATTTTTATTTACTACAGAATACATTAAACTTTCAGCTGCAATGGATATTGTCTCAAGAATCTGTATAATTTATGACGTGATCTTAGTACAGTTGTTTCTGTCAGAGCTTTCAAGGCACAGAGTCGATGAGTATCGTGTACGTTTGTTTAGGTTCCGCAAAATTGAACAGTGAGGCAACTAAAGAGAGATATTGCGAGACACTTTGAATTATATCAACAAAGGATGCGTAACAGAATGAAGATATCTTGGAGGTATATATGAAAGAGTTGAAATTACGACAGCTTAACACTTGACAAAGATGACAGCAAGATAGAAGATTATGGAGTTAGCAATAAAGTGATAAACTTTTATAAAAATTAGAAGAAAGCCAAGATGAATGTAACTTTTTATTTAGTATAACTTAACATCACTAAACATGTTTTACTTACTATATTAAAAATGTAAATACATTTCTATAATGGAGAGAAATATATAAAAATATTAATAAATGTTGTTGACTAAATTATCCTTTTCTCTATTTCCTGGCCAAAATCTAATTTAATAGTGATTGATACATACATTTTTGAAATTCCATTATTATGACTCTATTTGCCGTTTTTGATCCCATTTAAGTTCCTTTATAATATTTCTTAAATAATTGAAAACTGACAATGTTCTTACAGTTAGATATGTTACATAGGTCATACACAGCTAAATATTGCTTACTTTGTGAGCTGGAATCTTTCATACATTTCATTTCCATTTATTTAGAACCAATATATTTGTATCACTTGACATAAGACTAATATCTGATAAAGATCTATCTAAATATATAAGATTACAGTTGTTCAAAGTCTGGTTGGGGAGGTGGCTCTTGAGGCAAGGGTTCAAAGTCTCCGAGTGTGTTGTCAGGTTCTTCGTGTCTCGGTGTTGCCAGAGGGTGGTCATACGCGTCTTTCAGGATTTCTTGATCATGCTTTAAAAAAAAATATGTAATATAAATTATTTGTTTATTTAATTTAAATTATATTTCTCCCCTATGAGCATAGTACACACCTGATCAGGTTGTAAAACTGAAGGTGGGGCAAGATCATCTAGAGATAGCTGAGTGTTGATGACCGATTTGGGAGCGTAATCTCGGATAGCCGGCATGTTCTCCACAATCTAAAACATTAAATATATAAACAATGTGATAATATATTATAATATAATCGAGAAACAGTATGAGTAATCACTAGTAGATACTCACAGGCTCTACTTCATCAGCAGGTTTTGGTTCTTCCCTGACGGTGTTGGCTCGTGATAGTTCCTCAGTTAAGTACGCGCTTGTGTGTTGTGTCACGAGGAGATGAGATAGAATGTCCGTGCCTGGAGTAATATAATATTAGAAAAACAAAGTTTTTCATACAGAATGGCAATATTTACGAACTGTATACAATTTTTGCGTGGGGAAAGTTAATACGTATTGTTTCTTCTTTCCCATTACCCATAATAAATCTTCGCAATAAAATCTGTTAATACTACTTGTTTAATTTAACGATGCCGTCTGGAGATTAAAATCTTAATATTTTATTAGTTACTATAGTCATTGGTTAATTGTATATTTTATATTGATCTATATATGCTGCTGGTCTAACAGTTTCATATATATATAATTTATAAAAGATAATGAAAATATATTATATTGATTGATATCCTATAAACAGTGTAAACTGACTTATGTCTGTAGAGTATTCGCAGACGCAGTATAGCGTGGGAGCGGGTCTAGGAGCGGCCTCCAGTGAAAGTGAGCCGGCGCAATATCCACTGTGTCTCAACATCGCTCGGTAACATGATGTAGCATATGGACACTTGCTGCGCGACGTGCGACCGCTGTTTATTGAGAATATTAAAATTATACTTCAGTATGTATTAAACATTTGGTATATTATTTATCGAATCCTTCTTCATTAGAAAATATAGAAATATTAAAAATATGATATCACAATATAATAAGGGCTACTAAAATAACATTTTTTTTTGTAAAAGTTAATGAGTGTTTTCAACACGATAAAGGAAAAACTACGTCTTTTTACTGACATTCAATAAATCTGATTGTATTCAATGTTTACAGCGTCGTTTTATCAAGTGGTTATACTAACAGGAAGTGTTTGTCACTGTCAAGCGGAGTGTCACACTCGCGTCATAGAAGACCCTCTTGTATGACCAACGTGACACCTTCATACGTGTCGCTGATGGCGTGACATGCGACGTCCTTGATGGGAGGGCGCGCTTTGTTCTGAAAATAATTTATTGTTATATAATTGCAGTTTGTTAATTGTAGATAAATAAGTAGCAGTATATACAAGTAGCAGTAGAGTTATATGACGCACATACCTTGGGCAGGTTAATCAAGTGCTCAGTAGAACACAGAGGTAGAACCTCCTCGAACGGGTTGTAGTCTCGAATCTGATGCTCTTTCAGTTGACCTGAAAAATATTATACGTATTATGTGTGTGTATTGAACTCATTTTATTGTAAATGAAACTTATATTTTTCGGATATGCTGCGCTACTTGATTTTTGATAAAAACTACATACTCCCGACGTTTCGGCTACTTTTCAGCAACCGTGATCACGGACAGACGAGATGTGAACGTTTATTTATATTGTATAATGAGACTAGTAAACCCGGCGGACTCCGTTTCGTCACCAGGCTTCGTTTTATGTAGCATTTCTTTTGGTGATTAAAAGATGAAGAATTTTTTATTGTTTTATATTTGAAAAGGAAAATTTTAATTTCGTTTCACAACAGTAATGAATTCATTTCGATTACAGAAATGTAGTGTTATTTAGTTGAACTTCTCTAAGTAAATAAAAGTGAATCCAAAGTAGATACCGTAGAATCGAAGCGTTATACGTGTCAGCAAATTATCCGTTACATTGAAGTGGTCTTTTGTAAACCACATTTTTTGTTTTTTTGTCTAACGTTAACACAAATAAAGCGGATGGTTTCCGAACTCCTGAACACGCAAAGTATAACTGCCTATGTGAAAAACAATGATTTTCTAAATTTATCCTGCAAATACTAAATGGTTTTAAGAGTTTAAACTACAAACACAATACCGGTTTGTCACATGAAATTACCAGAACAGAAAACAATGAGTAGCCTTCAAACAACGTATCATGCACCGGCACCATCTACTTAAAATATGCAAACGAATGCAAAATCGTGGAAATCGGTTCGTTCGTTCTGGAGTTATAGCGTCAGGAAGGAAAACCGGACTTATTTTTATACAGTAGATTTAAGACTTGCGAGTATTAATTTCAATGAAAGTAATATTTTCGGAATACTTTGCGTATTTTATTATTTTTAAAAACACCACACTCCCGACAACTCGTCTGCCTTAATCATGGTTGCTGACAAGTAACCGAAACGTCGGGTGTATATATAATAGTTTTTTAAATAATAAAATACGCGAAACAATCCGAAAATATTAGTTTCATCTGTTTATATACTCGGTGAATAATATACTTACAGTTGTATTATTCACCGAGACGTACGAATCTCAGCACACATCTCGTACATTTAATCTCCAGCTCCTTGTCCTGGTGTTGTTTGAGATGGTCCATGTAGAGGAGCACGTTGGCCGTCAGCTCACAGCCTTCAGCGTACACTGGAATCATCTGAAGACAGATATACGATGATTTTAATTTCTTCTACGTAGTATACTATTTGATGTGACCTCTTAAAATTAATATTGAAACTGAAATAAATGAATTCCCCCTTACGAAACGCATGTTTATTTAAGCCGTTTTTAAATTACTTTAAGAGTTTTGAATAAAGAGCAAATATGTTCTATAAAATTGTTATTAAGACATGAAAATTTTATTTTGATTTTATGTGACATGAAAATTTGGTTTATTTTGTTAAAACTAGGCACTATTTAAGCTTATTGAGCTATCGTGCCTCGCGCCTGAGCGGCAAATGTCATAATATATTATAATATAATCTCAAAACAGTATGAGTAATCACTAGTAGATACTCACAGGCTCTACTTCATCAGCAGGTTTTGGTTCTTCCCTGACGGTGTTGGCTCGTGCAAGTTCCTCAGTTAAGTACGCGCTTGTGTGTTGTGTCACGAGGAGATGAGATAGAATGTCCGTGCCTGGAGTAATATTATATTAGAACAACAAAGTTTTTCATACAGAATTGCAAATATTTACGAACTGTATACAATTTTTTGCGTCGTGACAATAAAATCTGTTAATACTACATACTTGTTTCATTTAATGATGCCGTCTGGGGATTAAAATATTAATATTTTATTAGTTACTATAGTCATTGGGTATTTGTATATTTTATATTGATCTATACATGCTGCTGGTCTAACAGTTACATAAATAGTTATAAAATTTATAAAAAAGAAATGAAAATATATTATATTAATTGATATCCTATAAACAGTGTAAACTGACTTATGTCTGTAGAGTATTCGCAGACGCAGTATAGCGTGGGAGCGGGTCTAGGAGCGGCCTCCAGTGAAAGTGAGCCGGCGCAATATCCACTGTGTCTCAACATCGCTCGGTAACATGATGTAGCATATGGACACTTGCTGCGCGACGTGCGACCGCTGTATATGGAGAATATTAAAATTATACTTTAGTATGTATTAAACATTTGGTATATTATTTATCTAATCTTTCTTCATTAGAAAATATAGAAATATTAAAAATATGATATCACAATATAATAAGGGCTGCTAAAATAACATTTTTTTTTTTTGTTTTTTTGTAAAAGTTAATGAGTGTTTTCAACACGATAAAGGAAAAACTACGTCTCTTTACTGACATTCAATAAATCTGATCGTATTCAATGTTTGCAGCGTCGTTTTATCAAGTGGTTATACTAACAGGAAGTGTTTGTCACTGTCAAGCGGCGTGTCACACTCGCGACACAGAAGACCCTCTTGTGTGTATTGAACTCATTTTATTGTAAATTAAACTTATATTTTTCGGATATACTACGCTACTTGATTTTTGATAAAAACTACATACTCCCGACGTTTCGGCTACTTTTCAGCAACCGTGATCACGGACAGACGAGATATGAGCGTTTATTTATATTGTATAATGAGACTCGTAAACCCGGCGGACTCCGTTTCGCCACCAGGCTTCGTTTTATGTAACATTTCGTTTGGTGATTAAAAGATGAAGAATTTTTTATTGTTTTATATTTGAAAAGGAAAATTTTAATTTCGTTTCACAACAGTAATGAATTCATTTCGATTACAGAAATGTAGTGTTATTTAGTTGAACTTCTCTAAGACTTTCAGAGAGACTAACGAACAGCAATTCATTTATATATATAGAAAGATATCAATATATAGATAGATAAAGATTGAGTAAAATATGAATATCTCATTTAATATTTAAAAGTAAAGAAAAGTATTAAGAAAAATATTTTTAAAACGGACGTGGCAGTCAGATTCCAACAAGGCCATAAATTGAAACGGTTCAGTTAACCTGAACATCGAGAAGTAGAACCCTTCTTTATAGCCTTCAATATAGTGACTTTCGCGTAAATTGAGAAGCTTAGAAATGTCCCCTTAACGTCGACTAACTATTTATTAAACTTACTCACTTATTAAAAGATAAGATTAACAGTTTCTTTTCTCGTCCCAAACGTATTATTGTGTAATGTAAATTGAAACTCAGATTATTTAGGTTCTATCACATATAACCATAAGTTTGAATTTCAAATGATAAATTAAAATATTATGAAAATAATCATGATTAATGTTAATGTTAGAAATAAAATACAATATTACATATGTTAAAGTGATAAAAATCTAAATAATATTCCGAAAAAATATATATTACTTGTTTACATTAAAAAAATGGTGGTTTCGAATATGGGTTTTTTAAAAAGTAGGTGTAATTAATTTTGACCTGTTTTTTTATTAACTAGGGTAAGATTTTTCATTTTTATACAATAATGTTATAATTAAAATAGAAATTTTAAATAATTCATGAAAAAAAGTTGGCCATTGGGTTTTTGAAAAAAAAAAGTATTGATTTTTTTATGTATTTTAAAACTTTATTATTAATTATATTGGATTTTTAATGCAAAAAACTTGAAATATTTTTTTTTAATTAATTATAAACAATTAAAAATTGATAAAATTCAAAAATATATCACGTGACTGTAAACGCGCCATGATTGGTCAGCATACTTGTGACGTCATAATGTTAAAGCAATTTCATAATAGTACAGTGTTTATGGCTATTATCTTTAACTTGATAAAAATATCTCAAATTTATTAGAGAAAAACGATTTGAAAAGTTTATTTCGACTATGTGTGATAAAGGATTTATAAAAGCAAAATCGGATAATATTCCTGATGTTGATATATTTATGATAACTAATTTTTAAAAAAATGACGTTCGGTTTAATTCTGCTGAAGTTCGAGGTGATAAGGCATCAAGGTAAGTCTGTTAAAAAATACTATTCTAAATGAAAATAAGTATTTATTCTCTATTAAATATAATTAATAATTATTTCATTAAATCATTATTAATAAAATGTTATTATAACATTATAAAAAACCAAAATAACATATACTTTAAAAATTTAAATGTAGTCTGATACAGAACCTAGAATGTTATAAAATTACTAGCTTTCCGCCCGCAGCTTCGCCGCGTGGAGTTCGGTTATATCGCGTTTCCAAGAGAACCTTTCAAAAGTCTGGGATAAAAACTATCCTATGTTCTTTCTCAAGGTCAACTCTATCTCTGTACCGAATTTCATTAAAATCAGTTCAGTGGTTTAGGCGTGAAAGCGTAGCAGACAGACAGACAGACAGACAGACAGACAGACAGAGTTACTTTCGCATTTATAATATTAGTAGGGATGAAAATATCTATTAATTGAAGTCCAATTATTAGACAAACATACATATTTTACTATTTAATCGCTTTGAATTATCAATTAAATTTTTTTTAATGCTACGATTCTAAAGGTTATGATTTGGAGCCCAGGTAAAAAAATTAATTATTGAACTATACTTTATATTCCATTTATAAACTTAGATAAATAATAATTAATAACAATACTATTATGAATACTTACAACGAAATGATCTTCACAACAAAAAAAATGATTTTGTTTTTGAATAATCTCGATGCACTGCTTGAAACCATTTCTTTCGACGTTTTTCGTCTTGTGGAACATTTAAAAACATTTTTTCAGGAGTTGTTTTTGTAGTCTTTGTACATAATGGTACAAACTTTTGATTATTTAACAATGCCAACAGAATTTACTAGATAAAAACTCAAAACACTGTACTAATTATTATATCCCTGTATGCTACAATGAGCAAAAACTAACATTGTGACGTCACACGCGCTCGGGTTTATTCGCGAGCTGTCGGCGGGTCTTCGGTACTGAATTTAAAATTTAATTTTTATTTTGATATAACTTTTTAATTATTGCAAAAAAAAAAAAATTGTTTTGTTATAAAACTTATATATGATCTTTCCATTTATCACAAAAAAAATATATATTCAAAAACCCAATTCTTAAAATCAATTATTACAGTTCCTTAATATATTTACAATGATTAATTAAATAATTGTATCATGAACAATAGTTAATTTTAAATGAACAATAGTTAATTAACAGTAGAAAAGTTTGTGTCTTATATATTTCTTATATTAACGATGTAATTCTTTTCGCCGTATAAAATGAATGACTTGAACCTAACGGCTTGAACCCAATACTTCTATTGAATAATCATCACTCAAGTCTTAAAATAACAAGTGTTACGAAGAATGTTTTTATGATATAGTTTGTATTGAAAAATATCGAATAAACAGAAATTTTTATAAACTAAAATTATGAAATTTTTCAGAATCTTCTAAAGATGGAACCAACAATGTATATTGCCTTCTTTTATCGTGCCCAAGGACATGTGTCGCGTATAACATTAAAGGCGTTATTTCATTTTAATACTTCTAACAAAGGACGTGTCACTGATTTATCTACTCAATTTTATCGTTATTTCGTTTTTGACATAGGAAAAGAAAAACATACTTTCTCTAAAGTAATACAACGAAAACGAAACATTGCATTAGTTTTGAATTAAAGAATCGAATTTTGACCAACAATTGTAATTGATTAAAAATGTTTTTTAAGAATGACGTGATTAAAGAGATTACATTAAGTATTCTATGAAACGTTTTTAATTACTGTGATATAATTGACAATGTATAGAAAAAGTCTTACTTACTTATCTATTACGTAGTTTGATTTACCGTTTACTTCTAAGTAGGCATCAAACATATTTCTCAGAAACGATATTGAGACTCACTTATTAAAATTCTCGTTTTATTTCCCTTTGTTTAACCAGGACGCTTAAGATATTCATCGAAATAATTTATTTCGCCTATTCAAAGATCTTATTTAAAATAAAAATTACTATACGAACTTTTCTATCACATTAGCTTCGAAATTTTAATTAAAGAAATAAAAATAATCTACATAATTTACTTGAATTGTACTTGAACCTATCACGTCCATACATCACAGTGATAGTGGTTCAAAGCAATTTCTCAACGTCGCACTTTATTAATAATGTAAAGATATCTTGAACAAGAACGGCGTATTCCTATGGCAATCAAGTTCAAGTGACTTGTTTTTACTTTATAACAAATAGCAACATGTAAAGAAGAACAAAATAACTAACGATCAATTATGAAATAAACTATTGAAGACACAGTTCTTTTCATGAATGTTATCATAAGAACCTGACAATATTATAAAATAGTATTTAATGAAAAGAACAATAGTATTAACTCAAATATAAATAACTCGTTAATAATAAAGTACCATTGTTGTATTTTATATTATAACGTATGTATATATAAAAATATGAAACCATATAATATTATGGAATTCATTAATATTAGATTTAACAATCCGAGTATGGATTTAAGACTATGAAGGCAGATAATTTTAAAGATTTTTTTTATAGTACCCAAAAGGTCAAACCGTCGACGTACGAGTATGTTTATTTATTTATTTATTTATTTACTCTTTAATGTACACCAATATAGACAGAAATAACAAGAGAAAAACAAAGAAAGGAAAATGTACAAATAGGCGGCCTTATAGCTAAAACAGCGATCTCTTCCAGGCAACCTTTATAAATATTTTTAATCATGAACATACGTAAACATTTACAAAAATAGTTATCGGTATTTCTTCTCCATTTAATCTTTATATTTTAACCAATCATTCGCTTTATCAAAGGGCATGCATGACTTTACATATAAATATGTCCTCAGTGACATTCATAATGTTAAGAATACCTTATAAAAGTACTGTCTTCACTCACAACAATAACTTCTAGCATTATTTAAAACGACCATGAATAGAAGAAAATTCCATACAAATTTAGGGAATTCAAAAACACGTTAATTTATATATGAAAATACTTAGAATATATGTTATTATTATTTAGATATTTGAAGATTGTTTGCATTAAAATTGTTTTAATACCTACTTAAGTCTAATTTATGCCCATGTAATAATTAAATTCTTATTATATGTAGTTTAAATGTTAAATATCATGAAACTTGATTGTTTTTGTAAAACTTTACTTACAATGTATATTTATTTTAAATGAGCACTAAACAGTATGAACTCTTATTTAGAGTAATGTTTATGTGCAGGCAACTAACGTAACGTGTGGCTCGCCATGATATACGACTGTTTAAATTTTATACAAATTTAAACCTTTTATTTTTAAAGTCCCGCCATTCTTACTTGTATTAAATGTTTTATATCATCAACAGTGCAAATTAAGGTTTAACAAATTATTGTCTTGGCGATTTTCATTTAACCACTCTACAGTTATGTACATATATGCATCTTCACGTAATTAAATACATATTTACGTAGTTTTAAGGAAAATCTATTTTACAGCCGGTGTGAGTTAGCAATTTTTTGAAATTGTGTTGTTGTTGTCGAATATAATTATCTTGAACATATTTATTTAATTTGTAAAAAGTATTAAATGATAAAACTATAATATTGTAGGAATATTGGAGAGTATAAGAGGAGCGAGCCATATATGTATCAGAATTTGTCAAAGAATATCAGGGTTCTTTTCTCGTTCAAAACGCGAGTTGGAATGATAGTTTTATCAATCGTAGATTTTCGGAGTGTGTTTAAATCTTTCTTTTGGGATATATTCAAAATATGTTTTCAAGATAGCTTTAAATCAAGAAAATTTAATGTTATTACTTAATTTTTTAGCTTACCACTGCGGTTCTCCTAAAACTAATATAATTACCTATATATTTCGAAAGTGTGCAACTGTTGTTGTGTCGTTATGTGTTGTTGCAGTAAACAGAGCCAAGACTATCCGCTGTCTACTGTATGAGATTCATGTAAACCGATTATTTGGGAGAGTTGATGAAACGATTTTTAAGGGAGAAGTTTTAGGTGCTAAACTGAAACACGGCGAAGAGAAAAGTGAGCCGTTTGGACATCAATCAACTCCTGTTTGATTTTTTAGAATATCTCAATTGATGAGTATTGGAAATAACAAAAGAAAAGAAGATTTCCAGCTAATTAAATATATCCTCGTATTTTGCCATGGTTTATAAATTAAAAATCCTTTTACAGGGAGTGGCTATCTATTTGCAAAACATACACTCTTCGTTGTAGGCTCAATGACATTGTACATCAAATCATTACTACTCGTCATATGCGTGGATGCACCAGTCTATTAGTTAACTTTTCCTAACATATACTCTAGTTGTTGAAATTGCAACTACCCAACTTAATCCTCTAGACTTATTACGAAACATCTTGGTCTCATTCTCTTTATTTGACTGATTATGATTTCCCTTATTGCTTTTCTTTGATTTTATAACAAGTGAAACTGACTTTTGTCCATCAACTTTTTGTATACTCCATAGTTAGTCCATATTTCGCTACGGTAGTTGTATAATCGTATTATACTGGGCTTTTTCATCTGGTAATCGTCCTAAGCTACTAATTGATGGCATCACATTCAACTCTACTTAGCTCATGAGTAGTGTTCATGATCTTGCCGTTTTACTAATTCATACTATTTCATGATTTCAGCTTTATGTTTACTAAATCCTTAAGCAATCTGACAATACGTATAGGTCAATTGTCATCAATTAATCTTACTCTAATACCATGTACGAATTTGTAAGGATTTTGTAGTAAAACAAATAGTTTGTAAGTCTACCTAACAATTTATTTACAAGGTTGTGCGAATATTAAGTAAACATTTCTATTAAAGAGGAGCAGGATGATGACGTGACAGAATCAAGAACTATAATTGATTGTATCCCAATGTAAATAATGTATAAATAATAAACATAAGATATTAAAATAACAGTCATACTCTTTAAATAAAAAGGAATTAGCTATTATAGACTAACTAAATTCATTGTTAATAATGCATGTATTGTTGTAAATAGCGCATTCGTCTAATAACACACAAATACACACATGCCTGTATAAATGACTAAGTAAAGTTTGTAAACATATTTGGTACTGTGAATAATGTAATACCAGTAATGACGGGGATTTCAATAATGACTACAGATTTAGCGCTATTAAACTACCTAAATTAACTTATTAAGTAACCACAAATTAACACACAACTATAGACTATTTCTAATTTCTATATTACAATTTTTCACATTTTGTTATGTCCTGGGTAAAAAAAAATATAGGTATATATTTCATTTGTTCATGTAGTAAACTGATGTAAACTCACAAAATATAAGTTATATGTAAGAATTTTCTTTTAATATACTGAGTTTAAATGTTTTAAAGCAAATATCTTCTTTGACATTCTTATTAACAAGTCTAAATGGGCTAGGAGAAATTATTACTATAAAAAATCTTAATAAATTGTAATTAATTCACTTATGGTTACTAAATTAGTAATAATGCAATAACCTTTACTATTAATAAAAAAATAATCAACAGCGTAGTAGCAAAAAAGGGAAACATTGCTAAGGTTCAATGTAACATACGACTTTGTTTTTTCTTTATTGGTATAAAGAGTGAGAGAATTTCAGTCAGTGACAAATAAATCCACGGACTGTGTGATGCTAAACGTTCCGTATACTATGGACATTGCATAGCAGGGAATTACTTGTTTAAAGGCTAACCTTGATGAAGGTTTTGATTTTATTAAACTAAGTTCAAAGTTGTAGTATCACTAACAATGTTTTCAAAGTTTATGCTGACTACCTTAGAAATAGAACCAGTGAAATACATATAGGTAAGAACGAAGATAATAATCTGATAGATGTAGTGACCATAAATCCAAAGATACGATCTAAATTCTGAGGCTTTTCGTGGACCTTATTTATTTCCATTGCACGCTAAGTTATACATATATATAATTTGATAACATCATTTGAAAAAAAAAGCAAAGGAAAAGTTTTCATCCCTTCCCATCATTTAACGAGAATCTCAAAAACTACTGAAAAAATTCACTGACGTCTGAGAGTAACGATATAACTGTCTAATAAACGAATTTATTATAACTCCAATTTATATTTAAAATATAATAGGACATACTTGAAATAAATTGATAATGATACGTTGAAACAATGACCGAAAATTGAAAATAATAAATAGTTAAACATTTAATAACATACAACACTTAATACTTTAGCGTTAATTTGATTTTTTTTTCAACTTAACCATACCAAATTCTTTCTAAAAAGTGGACTGGCAGTTTAAACTGCAGTAACTCCGGAAATTGTCATAACAGTTTAAAAAATTATCATCAAAGTCAGCAATACAAAAATATTCAATTATTTATAAATTAAATAAACTCTTTCTTAAAGTACAAAAGCCAGTAATAAATTGCCTCATTAGATACCTTTTCCAATGAATCGTTGGAAGGTTGCCAAACAACAAGTAACTAACTTGTTTTTCCTGTTGTAGAGAATCAAAAAGATCTGGCAAAAACAAAATTAAAGACTGGCTTGGGGCTGGATATTCTTTAATTGTACTTTTAAATACAATGAAAAAGATTTTTACTAGCACGAATTGCCTAAATTTTATAAAATAACCAATAAGTCAAACAAGCTTAATAGTCTTTATCCTAAACGTTTAAAAAATATTTAATAACAATATACAAACATAAACAAATAAATAATTATTTAGCAAAGTACCTAACTTTTAAACAGGGGACAAATGACACCAATATCTACTGAAATAGGTCATTTATTTAGGTAAAATAATAATAAAAATAAATCTATAAGTACGACTTTATT